ACAAACATACATACATACATACATACATACATACATAAATACATACATAAATCCGCCGACCCTGTCGGCGTGTGTGAGGGGCTTTTCCGTTCGAGCCGTCATCTCCGTCATTCTTTGTACTCGTCGTCTCTGTCCTTCCCTTTCCCTGGGAGACCTCTTCCCCTGGGCTCCAGCCAAGCCGACCTTGAGCAACCTCGTAATTGAGTCGAAGGGAAGCCCCTTCCCTTTGATCCCTCCCCCGCCGGGAGGGGGGGGGGGGGTGTCGACCCCCCCCCCGGGTCAGATACGACGCCCCCCCCTGGGACTCCTCTTCCCCTGGGCTCCAGCCAAGCCGACCTTGAGCAACCTCGTAATTGAGTCGAAGGGAAGCCCCTTCCCTTTGATCCCTCCCCCGCCGGGAGGGGGGGGGGGGTGTCGACCCCCCCCCGGGTCAGATACGACGCCCCCCCCTGGGACTCCTCTTCCCCTGGGCTCCAGCCAAGCCGACCTTGAGCAACCTCGTAATTGAGTCGAAGGGAAGCCCCTTCCCTTTGATCCCTCCCCCGCGGGAGGGGGGGGGGGGGGTCGACCCCCCCCGGGTCAGATACCGCCCCCCCTGGGACTCCTCTTCCCCTGGGTTCCAGCCAAGCCGACCTTGAGCAACCTCGTAATTGAGTCGAAGGGAAGCCCCTTCCCTTTGATCCCTCCCCCGCCGGGAGGGGGGGGGGGGTGTCGACCCCCCCCCCGGGTCAGATACGACGCCCCCCCCTGGGACTCCTCTTCCCCTGGGCTCCAGCCAAGCCGACCTTGAGCAACCCCTGGGCTCCAGCCAAGCCGACCTTGAGCAACCTCGTAATTGAGTCGAAGGGAAGCCCCTTCCCTTTGATCCCTCCCCCGCCGGGAGGGGGGGGGGGCGACCCCCCCCCCGGGTCAGATACGACGCCCCCCCCTGGGACTCCTCTTCCCCTGGGCTCCAGCCAAGCCGACCTTGAGCAACCTCGTAATTGAGTCGAAGGGAAGCCCCTTCCCTTTGATCCCTCCCCCGCCGGGAGGGGGGGGGGGGTGTCGACCCCCCCCCCGGGTCAGATACGACGCCCCCCCCTGGGACTCCTCTTCCCCTGGGCTCCAGCCAAGCCGACCTTGAGCAACCTCGTAATTGAGTCGAAGGGAAGCCCCTTCCCTTTGATCCCTCCCCCGCCGGGAGGGGGGGGGGGGGTGTCGACCCCCCCCCGGGTCAGATACGACGCCCCCCCCTGGGTTCCCCTGGGCTCCAGCCAAGCCGACCTTGAGCAACCTCGTACGCCCAACTCCTCTTCCCCCTGGGCTCCAGCCAAGCCGACCTTCGAATTGAGTCTTCCCTTTGATCCCTCCCCCGCCGGGAGGGGGGGGGGTGCGACCCCCCCCCCGGGTCAGATACGACGCCCCCCCCTGGGACTCCTCTTCCCCTGGGCTCCAGCCAAGCCGACCTTGAGCAACCTCGTAATTGAGTCGAAGGGAAGCCCCTTCCCTTTGATCCCTCCCCCGCCGGGAGGGGGGGGGGGGTAGCGACCCCCCCCCCGGGTCAGATACGACGCCCCCCCCTGGGACTCCTCTTCCCCTGGGCTCCAGCCAAGCCGACCTTGAGCAACCTCGTAATCTCTTGCTGCGCATTGCGAACAGGGTCGGCGGCACCGGCCGTCAGGCCTTCGCAAGCATGCATGCATGCATGCATGTATGATTGCATGTATACATACATACGTACATGCACGCATGCATACATACGTACATACATACACCCATACATACATACATGCATACATGCATACATAAATATATATCTATATATATATATAGATAGCACTGCGTTGTACAAGGTGGCCTCCCAGACGACTCAAGTCGGCGACTCGAGGCCAGACGTGAGATTAAAGGCGAAGCCCAGCGATATCACTTTTTCCAGCCGATTGTTGCCACACAACAAACTTCACAACAGGACGAAGCACGAGCGAGCCGGCACCGTTGCTGCACACACTGAGCGCCGGAAGGAAATTCGAAGACCCACTTTCAATAGGCAGAGCAGAGAGGCAGCAAAATAGTCCAGCCGGCAAGATCGTGCAAAAGCCCCCAAGGGTGGGAGGGACTGGGAAGACTTGAGCCAAAGCGCCCACGGAGCGGAAAAGGGCGCATGGCAGAACGTTCAACACTCACGGGAGGCCTATGAGGCGACAGCACTACAGACGTTGAGAAAATTGTGATAGCACTGCGTTGTACAAGGTGGCCTCCCAGACGACTCAAGTCGGCGACTCGAGGCCAGACGTGAGATTAAAGGCGAAGCCCAGCGATATCATTTTTTCCAGCCGATTGTTGCCACACAACAAACTTCACA